AGGGCTGTCTGTGAGAGAGCAGAATCTGTAGGGCACTCTTACGGGTTTGATGTCTCTGTGCAGGAAGCCCACAGAGTGGATGCTCTCGATGGCCTCTAAGATTTGTTGGCCCAGCCTGAGTGTGGTGGAGAAGCTGAAGGTGCCACAGCTCATGTTGCGTCGAAGATCTGCCAAGTTCCTTCCCTGCAGTTCAATGGACAAACATCACTTCAGGTGACTGAGATCAGGGTTGTTGTGTTACTTTGAGTGGTGTGTGATAACGTCCCATCAAGAAACAAGAATAAATCATTTGATGCCCCACCTGAAGCTCCATAACCACATAGTTGAAGCGGTCATTGCGCCCACAGCCAACAAAACGACAAACATGGTCTTTACCTACGAAATGGATCAAGGTAAAAATGGTTAATGTCAAACAAATCCATATGTATTTTTAATTAATATTCCCCTTGTGTTTGGCCATGTATGATTGCCCAAAATAGAGTAGCACACACAGTGCAAAATGACTCCCCAAATAGTGTTTTCATGCTTGTTTTATATACATTAACAAACAAAACAAAAAAAAATCAGTATCTTAAATGTCTGTGTTAATTTTACCCTGAAGTCGTTTCAAAACTGCTACTTCCATCTTCAGGACCTGTTTGGGTTGCTGGGCAGACTCCACTTTCAGAGCCACATTGACTTGGTTCACCTGGTCCAAGACTTCATAAATCTCACCAAAACCACCCCCGCCAATTTTCTTCAGCTAGATAAGAAAGATACATTTTGAATGAATGACGAAGAAATCCTGAAACAAATTACTATGCAAAATTTTTTTGTCTATAGGATTTCTTAATGTTTTTGTTTCACAGTAATATTGTACAATATTATCATTTAACTGTTCTTAATTCTATTTAATTCTTAGAATTACTTAGAATTCTACTTAATTCTATTTTAATATACTTTAAAATGTAATTTATTCCTGTGATGTCTAAATTGAATTTTCAGCAGTCATTAATCCAGTCTTCTGTGTCACATGATCCTTCAGAAATAATTTTGATATGCTGATTTGTTGCTCAAGAACATTTCTTATTATTATCAATGATGAAAACAGCTTTATATTTTTGTGGAATCTGTAATGCATTTTATTTTTCAGGATTCTTTGATGAATAAAAAGTTCAAAAGAACAGCATTTGTCACTTTTGATCAATTTGATATATCATTACTGAATAAAAATATATTTTTCAAAAAAAGAAAAAACATATTGACCCCAAACCTTTGAAAGGTAATGTACTGTATATATTTTTTCCTTCTATAATTGAGTAAAAAGCTTTCAAACTTGTGTCAGAGAACAGATGTTACAAAACAGGTTCTGTTCAGGCATGAAATACTGCCTTGAAAAAAATGTCCTAGCAAAACAACACTTTTGTCATGAAATTTAATGCTGTGTCTCATTACTATTAGTCAGCATCCTGTATAGTTTTCTGTGCTGATGTTAGCACTGCTCAACACACCTGCAGTGTATCGTTTGACTGAGCTCAAAAGGGGGAAAAAAACTCCTTGCCTGAGTAAAGGTTTACATAAAAGTATCTGACAGCTATCAGAACATCTCTACGAAACTAACAGTGAGTATTTGAATAGTCCTGAAGCCATGTCCTCGTACATACAGCTTGTTCAAAACAACTCACCACTCTCCATCGCTCCCGGACCATGCTCCCGACAGCCAAGATATCAGTTTGCTCCCCTGACCCACTCATCCTGAGGCTCAAGAGTGGACTGAGCACACTCAGAGAAGATCTACACCTCACATCAGTGAGCTCGGGTCCTCACTGAAACGAAACAGATTTGTAGATTTTAAAAAGGCTTAATTTAGTTGAAACTGCAGAGTTACAGTAGAAATTAAAGGCTCTAGAGAAGTTTGCAGACATAAGGGAGATTTCTTTACCTACAGTAGCTGTAGACGAGACAAAAATATTGAAAGATGCATTTTATTGGCTCCATCCATTCGTAAAAAAGACCTTCTGTAAAGGCACCCAAACTACATGAATCTGACCTGTCCTAAGGTTGTCTTTTAGGTAAGATCTGTATAAGAACCTGTCCTGATTCTTTTTTTTCTGACTGACTGCTAGGGTGCAGAGCAAAACTGATGGAGCTAAATACAGTCAAATCCTTAAGGAACAGGCTTACTGTAGGCCTGAAACAAGAATAAAATTCACTATATCTGCAAGACAGTGACTCAGGGAAACATAATCTGTAAATCTACATCACAAAGACTACAAAATATTGGCTTATATGCATGCTTAGTTGTAAGACAGAGAACCTGGGCTCTGTTTGATGTCAACGATAAAACAAAAATACAATCATTGCTATTGCTGTATGTTTCTATATCTATATATGATGTTATCTATATATAAATCAAAACAAAACTGACATTTTACATTTGAATAAATCTGATTTGAGCACAGACATATTATAGTTTAAAATATATCAAATTATTGTCTGTCTTAAAAAGGACCCAAGGCTATTAAAATGCTTTACTCATTAAATCTGTACTGTATTAGCAATACTATAATTTTCCCCCCACCAGTCAGAACAGATGGATGACAGTCCATACTAGCTGCATGCACGCAGTACTGGTTTTAATGAGGATCATCTTAAGGATGGCTGCAGCTGGCCTGTTACATGTCTTTAATAGCTGGCTGTGTTATTGAATTGTAATCATTTTAGCTTCTGCTAACATCCACAAGCTATGCTGAAAACTGCCGCTGTCTCGTAGATGTTGGTTGAGGCTTTCTCTGTCCTTTCCGCTTCCAGTGATAACGGGGAGACATGGGACACATGCTATAGCTAAAGCATCAACCAGAGCCAAAGGTTGGCAAAAAAACGCAATGAAGCGACACAGCGCTAGCTAATTAGCCAAATTGAACATCGGCACCGCAACATACAGCTATTATTGAACATACGGTTGCCAGGTTACACAGTGGCAACACAATGTTGTGACAGCTGTAATCCCGCTAATAATGCGGACTAGCTCGCTAAGCGGACAGCACGCGTTCATTGAGGGACCAGGTGTGTACATTACCTCTGTCTGCAGCGATGGTCCAAGATGTTTCCGAAGACTTCAAAACATCTTTTTTTGTTCTACACACCATGATGATATGAGAAACAACGGCTCTGGACATAATAATGCCATAACGTTTTGAAACGACTGAAGTTCCCGTTCTTTGCCTCACTTCTCTCAGCAGCAGCGATGATGCCTGAGCGAGCGGACCGACATGTGACGTCACATCTGGTCGAATGGGTTTGATTTTAAACATCGTTTGGAATAATAATCACATGAATAAATTTGTTAACATAATACGGACTCAGCATTTAATAATACATTATTAAAAACAAAAGCTGTATCACTTCGCATTCCATAATGGACCTGAGCTCACACACAATGAACAATTGTATTTAGCTAATGTTAGTTAACTAATGGATTCTTATTGTAAAGTGTCTCCGTTTTCATAATTATTTGTATTGATGGCAATTTTGTTAAAATTAGCTTTAGGATATTATGCTCACACGCTGAACATTTAAGTATACGTAAATTAAGATTTTAATTTAAAAAAGCACATTATCCTTATTTTGGTCACATATCTTCATTGTGGAATTATACAAACATTAATTTCAAAATATAAACAATTATTCAAACATTTAGTTAGGAAAACAATATTAGTTCTGAATGCACTCAGAAACCAGCAATAGTGTTGTTACACATAATTAGATATGAGATATATGCATTAGTTGTAATTAATCTAATCTAATTTAATAGTCACTGTGTGAAACAGTTCTGTCCTTTTCCAGTTTTCATTTAACACAAACAAATGCATCCACAATGTACAAATATTTCTTATAAGAATGTGAGAGGAATTTATACATTTATGCAGAGAGATGTCAGTTTTATACTTTTAGTAAAAACTACACTGTTTTTGAGACTAGGGTTCCTTGTATCTTACTCTGTAAAAAAGAAATGAAAAAAATTATATTTACTGGCATTAAACTTACTGAGTGCTATTTCCATATTTTTATAAGGCAAATACACATGGACTAACAGAAGATTTTCTTGTCAGTACACAATACCCGTTTCACAGATCACTAAAAATATTCCTCAGATAAAATGTTTAGCGAAATAATGTCCTCCTAACAACAGCACATCATGTAAACAAAAAAATATTTTGAAACCTATAAAACAAGGGATTAAAAACCTTAAAATATTATTCTAATATTTTTTTGGCATTGGAATCATGTAAAAATGGTTTCCTTTCCTAAAGTGAAAATTTGCATTCAAAACAATTTTAAAATCCAAGCACAACTATCCTTTTATTAACAGTTGAGACATGCCCACAGAAACCGCTTTAGGCAATAAGTAGTGATGGTTCCTAAGTGTTGAATCTAGGGATGCACGATATTGGATTTTTGCCGATATCCGATATGCCGATATTTTTCAACTCATTTTGGCCAATACCGATATATTTCCTTTTGTTTGGAAACAGCCCCAAGTCTCTCCTATGCAGAAATTATAAGCAAAATATATTTTTATTTTGGTTAGTTTTTAACAAGAACTTGTTTGTTAGAATTAAATAAACAACAATGAAGGTTTTTTGACAGTGCATTGAAGCTTTAACTATAGCCTAAATAAACTATATATCAATCACTGCATTTTCCCCCCAGAAAGACACAGTGTTAACCCTAACATTTTAGACTCAATTTTAAGATTTAACATTTGTAGATGGTCTAAAGCAAAAGAGCTGTAAAAGAATCTGAAAATCTTTTAGAGCTTATGATTTGTTTAAAAAAAAAACATATTACACATTAATGAATAAATCAGTATATATAAAATTAATTTTGAAGTGTCATGTTTGACTTTTTTTCATGTAAGCTATAGCTTCTGACCTTTAAATCAAAACATACTCATTATTTTATGACATCAATTACTGCTTCATTTATTCAGAAACACAGTCTAAATGTTATTTTGGTAGGCTATTTTACTTTTAATTTAATTAGAAGTAGGCCAACAGCGCTCCCTACAGATTAAAACACCTTACCGAACGGGCTTTAGGACCTGGGGGAGGCTGCCGCTGCTGCCACCACTGCACCTGCTATTACTGTTTACTCTATCACACACCAAAGGCTTTTCTGTATGTGCTTTCACAGATTAAATGCAGCGATCCAAAACAGTCAGTCAAATCATCATTCAGATAAAAAAATTCCTTCAAGAATGAGCCACACTGCTGACTTGATCTAATCACTAGCACACCCTGAGCACATGTGAGTTAAGGTATTCATTCCTCTTATCGGCAAGACATATCGGCAGAATTTTTCATATCCGTTTCAGTATCGGTCCGATAATATCGTGCATCCCAATCAAACTCTAAAACAATACTAAAACGTTATTCTTTCTTAAAATGGAAATAACAGTTAAAACTAAAAACAAAAATGCTTTGTGGACAGCATTTTGTTCAAAGTCCAATATTAGCTCTCATTTGCAGCTTTTCCTTCACCAAGCAGCCTCTCTCTCTCTGGGGCTTCTTCCTCCTCTGCTCTCTGCTCTCCAGGGCAGCAGGGCAGTTTGGCCATCAAGGGCTTGTGCAGTCCATTGTACAGCGCTGTACCAAGGAGTAGGATGATGAAGCCTAAAATCTGTAGGCCGTGGAATACCTCCCAACCCAGCGCCAAACTCATGACCCAGATGACCACAGTACGCAGACTGTCCAGCACCATGCGAGTGGTGGCACTTATTTCCTTGGTGACGCTGATGCCAGCGAAGTTAAAGAAGGCAATGCTCACAGTGTTGCCCAGAAGTGCCAGTAAAATGAGAGGCTTATGACCAATCTGACAGAAGGCATCCAACGCGTCTTCAAGGACCTGCCGTGGGTTGTCTGCAAAACTTCCCACATGGATGTAGAACATTGGGATGAGGAGCAAAGAGAGGATGACAAATCCGAAAAAACCTAAGAGAGAGAGAGAAGACAACTAAGACACTGGGAAACAGATCAGTCAAAGAAGTGTTCCTAAACTGATAAGTTATATATATATATATTAACATCTACTGACAAACTGCCTGTTTGTCAGTAGATGTTCATCATTAACAAAGGCATATTTGGCCGCATTTTTCTGATTTGACAGTAACAATGAATGGGGAGGACTGAGAGTGAAATAACCTCAGAAGCCACTGCGTCAAGTCAGAAAATATAATCACTCATTTGTAACAGCACTGATAGATACGTTAATCACAGACTTAGGGGGGCTAAAATGAAAACCGGAGATCTCCTAAAAAGGGTCTAGCAAACATCTATGGTAATGACAACATTTAGTTGTAGGCCAATCAGCATTGTTTGTTTCATTAATCTATACTACCTTTGATTTATTGCGGATTTAATCTTTTTAATAGTTAGCCTTTTCTAGCAATTAATCATAAACAATAAAGACTAAATAAATTACATAAATACATTTATTTTGAACTTTCAATTCAAATAAATTTTGAAAAATAAATAAATAACCAGCACAACTGTTTTCAACAATGATAATAACAAGAAATATGTTTTTGAGTACTAAATCAGAATATTAGAATGATTTCTGAAGAATCACGATACAGAAGACTGTTGTAACGGCTGCTGAAATTCAACTTTACTATCACAAGAATAAATTACATTTTAAAATATATAAAAAAATAAAACAGTTATTTTAAATTGTAATAATATTTCACAATATTACTGTTTTTACTACTTTCATCAAATAAATACAGCCTTAGTGAGCATTGGAAACTTCTTTCAAAAACATTCAAACAAATCTTACTGGCCCAAAACTTTTAAACAGTAGCATGTGACATAACATAAAAGTCTATAATCATTATGATAACATTATTAATAAGTAGCATTAATATACTTCAGGGCTCAATGCTAAGGATTTTTTCCACTGGCCTAGTCGAGCCAGTGGTTCAAATTTTTACTTGCCCTGCCAACATTTTCACTGGCCATTAAAAACATTCAGCAGCAGGTAACTACTGACCTGTGATAACCTCACTGAGCTTATGGGAGTCATTCCCATGGCCACTCAGAAAGTCAGCCAGGCCAACCACCACCAGACCAAGGATGGTGACTAGGATCCCAATCCACTGGCTGGGCTGCAGTCGCCGTCCTAAGAACGCTACAGACAACAGTCCAGTAAAGATGATCACAGCTCCTCGCAGCATCTGGAAACTAGAGGCGCTGGTCATGTTCAGTGCTAGAGATATAAACAAAGAGGAATGAATACACAAGCACAGAACCTGTTTAAGTAAATCCAAGAATAAAAAGAATAGATATATATAGTTTTAAAGAAGATAATACACAGTTCATTTACTTATACTGCTGACACTGTAACGATACAAAGCTGGTTGTAAACTGGAGAACCTACATTTTAAGGACTAAAGACTATTGACACCATATACTCCACACACGTTGGATACTCACCAATATACATGATGGATGTTCCCAACATGTCACAAAGGGCAGGGGGGAGGAAAAGTAGGGGGTTGAAACTTTGGCCCGGATCCATCGTGGGCTCAGGTTTGCACCGATCATGACAAAGGAGAATGTGGAACACCACCAGACAGGACAGCTCTCCCAAAAACATTCCTACAGCCTGGAAGGGTGAGACGAGGAGATGTGCGGTGAAGAAAGGAGTCATTTATTATTAAGATGCATGCAGGAAAAGCGACAGAGACAGGGAAAGGTGATATGAAGAGAAGGACATAGAGTCAAAACCAGTTCTCACTTTGCCAAAACATAAATAACTCTTTCAGTTCTCCGTTTCCTGAGAGGTACTGAAAAAAAAATAGCTGAGAGCGAAGTTTGATGTGAATAGTGTGTTGTTTTCTCGAGGATAGATAAATATCATTACCTGTACAAAAGGGTGGGAGAAGGCATGATCTGGGGTACCATTACATCCAGGTGCAGAGAACATATCAGCCCATCTAGAAGACAAACAGATTTATTAAAGGTCATTAAATGTGTAAATGTGATATTAAAATGAAAAATAATGTGCATTAATATGTAGTATAACAGTAAATAATGCAGTCATAGCAAACATTGGCTCAAAGATAGATTCAGTTTAGTTTTTTGGTCATACCCCCCTTTAAACTACTCCACTTAAGTCACTATAAGTTTAATAAGTAACTGTACACTAATGTCACTTTTACAACCATGAAATGACAATGCATGACTGACATAAAGCCTCATTACGAAGAAGACTTTAACAAATAGATTTTAACAGCTCCTTTAGATTTATCAATTTGACTTGATTGATTTTAGAAAGATTTGGTTATAAAGAAGAGTCATTGTGGTACTGTAAAAAACGAGTGTACAAATATAGTTAAGTGTTAAAACAGAGATGCATCAGTGTCAGTTTTTCAGCAGATACTGAGTGAAGTGTGGTATCAAATACCATCTGCCTAGAAACATCAAGCTTGTTTTAGATACAAAGCTGTATCAATTTACAAGTTACTTAACAGCATTTATAGCAGACATCTTCTTGGCTAAATGGACCAGCAAGTTTAATGCTGCGATTGCACTATTGACTAATAGTCACAAGGGTTTTGTTGGCAGAATTGCTGATTTTGCAGCATCAGCATGTCACAACACGTCGGATCGTCACAATTTCACGTGAGTCGTCTAATCATCTTGTCCTAAAATGCTTCGTCTGTATATGTAAAGTGCATACGTTGTTACTGAAAAACAATCTTTCTTTCATCAACAAAAAACCATAAGATATTACACAATAAAATGACAAATTAATAAGGACACGGAGTACAGTTTTGTAAAAGAAAACGGGAAAGAATCCTTGTCTGTCCTATTAATAGAGGCAATTAACGTTAGTTCAGTTAACTAATATAAGTAAGCAGAAATCACATGTAAACAAACACCATCTAGCGCGTGCGTGCTACTTACTTTGCGGAGAGTGTGTTAATAGAGCCTGTGGTGAGCATCAGACCGGCGAGAAAGAGCTGGTATTTTGTCCAAGCCATGGTGAGTGTGGGACTGAGTGACCATGAACATCAGACACTCAGGCTCTCTTGAGATTTGTCTTTCTTGCTGATGATGAGTACAACCGTCTAAACACTGACAGGTCGTTTCCCTGTATGCAAATCACATGATGGCGATCACGTGACACACCAGCTGACGCCTTCCGCAGATTTTCAATGTAGAAATGCACAGATCTTCTGTCTTAATATGATATATGAATCATATATGAGCAGCCAAGCAGTCAATATGCGATCAGAACAACACAGTAATTTGAGAAAAATTATGAATAACTAATGTGTTCGTTCGACTACGATGTGTTTGTTTCCTGACTTTTTGGTACAACAAAAACGGATGTTTACAGTATTAGATAAATAGCTAAAAACCTTTATTTAATTCAGGATACATACGGTGAATTCTTATAAAAGATTCCTTCGTTCCAAATGTTTGTGTTGTGTTTGTGCGGCGTTTGAATCACTTCAGTGACTCGGTTCCTTTGAATCAGTTGACCAAAAAGATTCGTTCAGATTCATTTGCTGACCCTTTAGCACGCCAGTAGGTGGCGTCAAGTTTATTTTTCGCTCTGATTGACATATGCAAGTCCGGACCTTGTTTTCTTTAAAGGGGTCATATGATGCGATTTCAAGTTTTCCTTTCTCTTTGGAGTGTTACAAGCTGTTCGTGAATAGATAAGATCCCTAAAGTTGCAAAGACTAAAGTCTCAAACCCAAAGAGATATTCTTTATAAAAGTTAAGACTGGTCCATGCCTCGTTTAAACACGCCCCCACATGTCTAAGTCATGATGTGGGAAGATTTGCATAATGCCACCCAAATGTTCATGCGAAGAAAGAAGACATAACTTTATTGTTGCTGCCACCGCCGCCATGTTGTGAAGACGCTGTGTGTTTCGTTGCGAAAGCGAAAATACTTTGTTTGGCCTTCCAAAAGAGGACACGACTAGAAATCAGTGGTTAAGTTGTATTTACAACACTGTTCCAGAACAGTTCAACCCAAATATTCAGATGTGTGCAGCGCATTTTATGGAGGACTGCTCCTGATCCTGGAATAGTAGACTACAATGCCGGCTGTTCTGACTCGCAGTCTGTAAGTACGTTTTCATATTTAAAGAATTTGCCACTGATGCTTCAAACGTGAGTTTTGAGCAGTGTAGAGTAGCGCTTGTTGTTTGTCATTTCTCCGATCACAAATGCAGACAGGGTTTTATGTTTATGCGGCGCCATGCAACGCAACGGGTAAAAAGACAGTATAAGTCATTATAATCTGTAATTATATCCCCACTGGATGCAACAAATGCCTCGTTTATAATGGGTTTTAATGTTTTTGTTTCGTCACTCCGGGACACGGCATCACACTATGGTAAGGGGTGTAACCAGTGTTGCCAACTAATTTTCAGGGGAAGTTGCTAAAGGCAGATCGATTTGTTGCTAAAAGTTGCTAAATGACGTTGTGATGTCATTGCGTGATGACCTCATTGCAAAACCATGACACAAAACAGCGTTTTTACGTAGAATACACGAGATTACTCAAATCTCAGCGATACATTTTTTTAATGTTATTTGCTCATAAAAATATTATAAACATAAAATATTTTAATTTGTAAAAGTAACATAAGTAGCACATCTTTATGATCTGATTTTTTACAACATTGAATTATTGAACAGTTAAGCATTTGATGTATTTTTTCTTAACTAGTAGAACTGCACATTCTTAACCATTATAGTTTTAAGCAGTGTTCTGGTAGTTAGTTAGTGTGCTACACAAAAGTCTTTAAAAATATGACTTTGATTTTTATACTGTTAGGCATCTTTCTCCAGCTCTCTCCAGGTTGATGTGCTGCTTGGCTGGCTAGCTGTTCAATGGTTTCCTCTTTTTGTGTAATGTAGTTGAAAATATGTGCCTTTTTTATCATTTGAGTCACTTTACAAAAGTTGCTAAAAGTTGCCAAATACTTTTCAAAAATAGCTAAATTTGTTGCTAGGTGCTTTTTGAAAAAAAAGTTGCTAGGGTAGTCTGAAAAGTTGTTAAATCTAGCAACAAAATTGCTAAGTTGGCAACATTGGGCGTAACATTTTCGTCACAAGCTTGAGGTATTCAGCCAATCACAACGCACTGGATAGCTGGCCAATCACAGCACACCTCGCTTTTCAGAACGATGAGTTTTGTAAAAATCGACGCGTTTCAAAAAGGCGGGGCATAGAGGAGAAACAATAATGTACAGCATGTGGAAAATAATGTTTTTTTTTTTTTACCTTAAACCGCATAAACACATTTCATTACACCAAATACACAAAATAATGTTATTTTTAGCAACATCATATGACCCCTTTAAAAAAATCTTTAAAATCTATAAATGATTTAATATTTAAATCATACTATCCATTTGTATGCTATTAACACTTATTTTAGTTAATAACTAGATGAGTGAAGTTTGCAAACAAACTTTGAAGTTGGCTTGAAAAAGCCTTGTCTGAAAGTAAAAGCTTAAAGTTTAAAGATAGAGAACCAGGTCAACATGCATTTTAACACGAATGTAATGACACTGTCAACACATCCTGTAATATAACTTGAAATCATAAAAAGTGAAAGTGATATGGAAATATAAAGGTCTCCTGTTTCAGTTGGTCTCACTAATGAAATATTGCACATTCCAGCAGTGCGCGAGAAGTTCCTTCCATCCAATCACAGCGTGCGCTTTTGCGCCTTGTATCGCCTCGCCTTCAGTCCGAGACGCGCTGATTGGCTGCGTCAGTGCGAACTGTTTTGTTGATAAATAACTTTGATGGATTGATTATTTTTCAAGAGGATCCTCGAACTCTACACGTCCTGCAAACAGTATCGGTAAAATTGCGCTTAAACAGCAGAATGTAAACAGGGTAACATGTGTGGTGACTACAACTGAAGAGTTCAAATGTGTTCGGATAGCAAAAGTTGTTGAATCTGTCAGCCTACATGTCGGAAAGGCCTCTCGATGCATTATGACATGGTATTTTAGCGTTTCAAATGTGCGCACTTACGTCTAGGCGATTACGACAGACTGCATTGTTCGTAGTGTGTAAATGGTCATGCACGCTGTTGACTTTGCCCAGGGTTGGAACTGTTTTGTAAGGTGCTGTCACCCGAACTTGAAAAGTAAGGAAGGAGCACGTCAATACCATATTGCAACAGTGTAAGTACGCTACAGTCTTAATCTGTTTCATACACGACATTTCGTTCAATAAACCAAGACACGTAAAGGTGCAAAGTGCACCAAACTGATACTTTGTCTTCTTACAGGGAAGTATGTAGGGTGGTTTGTTTTGCTGGGCAGCATTTATTATACATATTTTTTGTTATAACAAATGTTTCATCGTAGTTGCTAGTTTGGGAGGGGTCATCAATGTGTTGAAAAGTAGTTCTGCTTGTTCTCTCTCTCCTGTATTCTCTCCACATGTCTCTCTCCCTTTCCCTCTTCACTTCCTGTAATTCTTGTTGTCTTGCATTGCACTTTCATGCCCCTCCCTTGCTGTCTGCTCTTGCCTTCTGCGTTTGTGTTTGTCAAGTTTCCTGGTTTTAGGCCACTATGTTCCTTTTCTACTCACAGGTCTTACCAAACAGCCATTCATTAATGGTATGCAAAAGGAATTTTTTGCATTTAGTGTCATGTCATTCTGTGAGTCAGTTTTGACATGATATGGCCTGTTTTGTTATTGGTGATCTGAAGATTTCTTGACAACTAATTCTATTTATAATTCATTTGAACTGTTCTGCTGCTGTAGAAATGTGAGCATTGACATTTTACAAACAAGAGCATTTATGATAAAGAAAAATTGTTTAAAATGTGCCAAGTGTTTATATATGTACTCTTTTTGTATTATTTTTAAGAAAAGTTGAATTTTAAAGACTTGTTTAGTTTAATGTTTTTTCTTTTTTTTCAAAAAAGTTTTGGGACGTTGTTTTTATATCTTTATAAGTTTTGTTTATGAAAAATTGAAAAAATAATAAAGGATTATGTGAAACTACTAAATAAGTTTTTCTTTTAAATGATTTCATGCTTTTAATGATTCTTTGCATTCTAATATCAGGTCAGTTGTTTTACCATGACTTTAACTTTATGCCCACCAAAATTATTAAAATGTATTTTAATTCAAAAGCTAAAATCATCTTTATGGAGCCCCTAAGCTGATGAAAATGATGAAAAAAGTGAGATTTAAAAATTATATTTCAATGCTTCTGCATTTGCAGTTTTGTACCCCTAAACTTTGTGTTCGCTCGAAATGTTTCTTGGGGGTGCGCAAATGTTTTGTAATGTGCAAAACCATGAAATATAATTTTTCCTTAAATCTCATACTTTGTCCCTTGATGGGCTCTGTACATAATAGAAGATGTGCATGCAAGTTACTGTATGTATCAGTAGTGTTTTTAATGTATTTTTGAATTAATTAATTATATTGAGACAAAATAAAATGAGTGTCATGTCACTGATTGATTTTTCTTTTACTTTTTGTTTATTTTGTGTATAATGCAGATATAATTATACTTCTATTGTGACTGACTTCAAAACTTTACTTTTTGTCTTTCTCTCCTTTTTAGAACATTTCCTGTGACTGAGGAATGACTGAGTTTTTAAATATTTACACCACCTTTATACTGCAGTTTAGAAGCAAGAAGGGAGGTGGCGTGTCTAGACCTCACAAAATTGTGCATGTGCTCTGCTCTGTAAAACATTTTATTTTTTTTACATCCGGCCTAGTAATAGGCTTACTTAAAACTGAAGTGCTGAATGCTCCAGGTTTTTGCTTGTCTTATAGTTTCACACAATTGCCATGAGTCTTTCTCCACATCAGAGAGGAACCATAAACAGTATTAGCAAGCAGAATGTTGAAGCCATTGGGGAAACAATGCAGCATTCAGGGGATCTCTTCTACAATGTGGACACTCCATCCTTGGAGCAAACTCACAGCAGCCCAGAGGTTTTGATGGATTCTAGCCCTGAAGTCCAGGGCGTTTACAAATCTGATAAAGCATATCAGGTCCGGGGCCATCTTCAGCAATCGGGAACAGTAAAGTGGATGCCTCAAAACACAATGCAGACCGCGGCTTGGTTTCAGGGCGTCCCGGACCTG